AAGACGCGATAAAGGCATTAGTTGATGTGAACCGGCGAATAACAACACGTGAGATCGGATTGAGGTTAAATTTATCAAATTTAACAGTTTATGACCACTTGAAAGGCCTGGGATTATCCTCGAAGCTCGATGTATGGGTTCCCCATGTTCTCACAGAGAGAAATCTGTGTCGCGAGAGGGGTGCACCTTAGCATGATTAAAACCTACTCAATCTTTCGCAGCTAATTTAAATGCCTCAAAATGTTGGAAGACGAATGAAGCATGCTCTTTAATAAACAGTATATATTATTTAAATAAATATTTTACATTAAAAACAAGTGACGGAATGTAAGGTGGTGATAATCAGTGCCGGATTAAGAAAATAAGGGGCCTAGGTATATTTATGTGAGCCCACATAAGAGTGTATAGTCGAAGTTTTAATTTACTAATTAAAAATGAAGTGACAACTAACAAATGATGTAAATTTATTGAAACTGTTTTTAATTAATAATTATAAATTTTATTGGTACGGGACCCAGAGGCAGTTGCCTACTTTGCCTTTGTTTGTTTTATTTTCTTTTTTACATTTTGATTCGTGATTTATTAATAACATATACGCACGTCTTTATTATTGTAGTTATTTGTCACTAAGATTAATTTTGATAGATGTTATTTGTACAGAAGATTCAGTTGGTACATCCCCATTGTTGTTTCCTAATTCTTTTTTCCGTTCTGTAATTTAAATTCATAGTAAGCTAGAATTACCTTTAACACTGTAATAGCAAATATGTATTATTACAGGCTTCGGTCATGATACACACACACACGATATACGATTCGATAAAATTAAATCAGACATTTAATGTGAACTTATTATAAACAATAAATTCCGTTAAAGTTAATTTGCTTTTGATAGAACAATGACCTTAGTGTTATTTTTCCCCTATTGCAAGATAGAGAAAATAAATAAAAATAATTTGGAATAAATTTTGATTCAGTCAATTAGAATGCTATTATCAAATTAATTATATGAATTAATTGGACTTTTTGATTAAATTCGGTAACGACAATTAATTAAATTTATAGTGAAATGTTCATATTCTCAATTCTCGATTACATAAACAAATCAGCTTCAGTAGATGTACAAATTGCTGATGACATTTATGTTTCTCATATAATAACTATTGCAAATTCTGAAACTTACTGCCTTTTCCAAAAATTATTTTCTCAATAGCTCTAACAGGGAATTCAAATGCTAATGTCCATATTATTGCCAGAATTGTAGTCAACACTAGATCAGCCAAAAATGAACGTGTCTGAAAGAAAAAAAAACAATACTTGACTTTTTGATTTGTGTAAAAAAAATTGGATAAGTATCTCTAATTATACACATACAGTAAGGTAACAGTATTCAGTTGTATAATGTCGAGTTTCATTAATTGAGATTACGTGTTATCCACATAAATAAGCTATTTAAGGGAGTCACTTCACCAAATGGATACCTTAATGATGCCCTTGTTAAACAAGGAAGGGAAGAAAAAGTAGAGTGAATATAAAGATAGCAGAGGCAAAATTAGAAGTGGCTGATTCTCGTTATTTAGGATAGCATACGATCGAGTCGCCTTCAATAAAAAGAAGTCACATCTATGCTCGCGAATTGTTAATTTAGAAATTCGAATAAGATTGTTAAAGGTGTATGTCTGGAGCGCGATGCTGTATGGATGCGTGGCGGAAAAGAAAAGGTTAGAAGCGTTCGAAATGTGGTGTTACAGGCGAATGGTGAGGATACCGTGGATAGAGAAGGTTAGAAATGAAGAATCATTAGAAAGAATAGGAGAACAGAGAACATTATGGAAGCCAGTAACAAACAGACGAGATATGTTGGTAGGACACCTTCTCAGGCATTAAGGGCTATATTAGAAATAGAAAGAGGAGTTAAGAGGAGTAGAGGTAGACCTAGATTAGATTATTGTTCGCAAATAGTTAAAGGATTTGGGANTAGAATTAATTGGAATTTTTCACACACAAGCCTTGCTATATGAGCTCTCAAAGCATATAAAAATTATACGGCTTAAATGTGAAGTTGGGTGCAAAAGAATACAATTAAATCCTCTGTCGGGAAAAAACGAAATGACTTTCCGAACAACCCGATATTTAGGTACTTAACGCTGTGGATGTTTATTCAAACCTTCTTTTTATTTACGCTTATTTGCGATATTCGTGTAGGTAGCATTTCGATTTAAAAACAAGTGCTATACACCTTATCAAAATATCGATTATACCTTAAATTTGATATATGAAATTCAATACATACTCTTCCATGCCCACTGTTCTCCATTGATAAGAGAAGACCAGAATTCATTTAATTGCGTTTGACACTTTTCACTAGCGTTACCAGAAGTTTGAGCATTTTCAAGAAGAATTTGCATCATTTCATTCATTAATGATTGAGAATAACAACCCTTCATAAAAACTAGAACCAAACCCGACACAAAGAAAACCGTGTGTAAACTCATCATGATAACAAGTAATATAATTTTATCACTGCCACTGCATAGTCCAAATAACTTTCTGTAGGTACTAACACTTTTTACATTTATACTATTTTTATCTAAATCCCACCGTTATCACGGTGCAGCGGCAGTGGTAGTATAGTGAGTGAAGAGTGGCCTAGGTCTAAAATTTAATGTGAAGTCCTACGTAAGGCTGTTTATGTTCTATAGAGAAAGATGGTTCAATACAAAAAATATATTTAAATAAATTGTCAGTTTTCTTGTCTTTAGTTCTTACAATAGACTATTATTTTGTCGCATGGTTCAAATATACAGAGAGAAAAGATTAGTATGCTTAGATTTGCAGATGATATAGCACTATTAGCATCTAGCAAGAAGGAGTTAGAGATAGTTTTGAATAAAATGTGAGCGGTATTGACAAACAGTATTGTATGAAAATAAATAAAAGTAAAACAAAAAAAAAGTAAACTAGTATGTAAGTGAGGAACAAGTGGGGAAAGAGCGAATATGAAGATAGGAGAGGAAAAATTAGGAGAAGTGGCCGATTTTAGGTATCTAGGAATCTAGATAGACTACAGGACGGAAGGAGAGTAGTAGGGATATAAAGCAGAGGATAGCACCTTTAATAAAAAGAAGTCGCTTATTCTATGCTCGCGAACGGTTAATTTAGAAATTCGAAAAAGATTGTTGTTGGACGGTGGGCGCGGCAGAAAAGAAAAGGCTAGAAGTGTTCAAAATGTGGCGTTACAGGCGAATGATGAGGATACCGTGGATAGAGAAGGTTAGAAATGAAGAGACATTAGAAAGAATAGGAGAACACAGGACTCTGTGGAAGTCAATAAGAAATAGGCGAGATAGGTTCGCAAATAGTTAAGGACGTCGGTTGTTCTAGTTTTGGGGAAATGCGATGATTAGTTCAGGATATGAAAAATTTCTATAGCTCTCAAAGAATGCTACTTAATTTATGAACGCATTTAGTGATTATTAGTTTAAGATCTAAGAACGGTTAAACTGGTAAAATGTTAAAATATAATTAAAAAATTGTCAAGCTTAATATTTTGAGTATCTATAAAGATTCTCTTTAGCTGAATATCTATTAAGAAAATGTAACTATATTTTAATTTTATTGCCGATTTGGTGTTCTACTGCCTTTATTTAATGCCTGTTGATATTTGATCCACTAATTTCGCTCAGTGATTTTGAGGTTCCCTAGGGAATTTTTAGGAGTCGAGTTAACTAAAAGAACAATCTTTTCTTTATGCAATATGTATTTAAACTTTCTTATTTAAATCTCAAATAAATTCTTTTTAAAGTTAATTCCATATTTCCTCAACAAAATTAGTCAATCACATTTAACTTTCATAATTAATATACAATATTTAATTGGCAGTATTACTTTAAACTGTTTTTATTATAGCCACCACCCCCCCCTAAACGTGCCTAGTTACTTTTTAAGTTGATTTTATTAAGTTTTTCATTAATAGCAGAGATACTGCTTTTACAAAACAAATGAATTCTTAATTTATAATTGGATTTAGAATAATTTCAGAAGGAAGTAGGTAGTGAAGCAATATCTTTTGGGTATGAGATTAGCACGATTCAACCCAGAGGCAGATTAAATGTCGAGAGCGCTCTAGGCTAGCACCTCATAGGCGCCCCTCCGGCGGTCATATATTTTGCAAAATACTTTTTTTTATTAAGTACTTCCTTATTTTTTTTTTTTAGTTTTAAAAACCTTTTTTAACCTTGCGCGCCTAGACTTTGCCTTATGGATAATCCGCCACTGATTCAACCCCTTTCATTCTTTATAAGCCACTTTGATAACTTTAAAAAGTTGGAAGAAAAATCGACAATGCTCTTTGGTGTTTTATTTAAATAAATACAAAAAAACTACTTATGGAAACTAAGAAGGCGGGAATATTCCAGTAAAACTTTCATTTATAATATTTCAATTCAGTTTTCGATGTTTTATCCGTTTTTTTAAATGGTACACGATTTATTAAAAATATACACACATGTATTTATAATTTTATTTACATCAGACTAAGATAGATGGTATTTGTATCGAAGATTCAGTTGGAACATCCTCGTGTGGTTTCTCAACTAATTTTTTCCGTTCTGCAATTAGAAACAATTTTCTTGAATTCGTTTGACATGAATGATTGATTAGATATTTAATCTGCACTTATAAACAATCGATTCCATAAAATTAACTTGAATGGTACCTGAAAGGGTGTTCGATATTTAGGGACTTAGACGACTGAGAATCAAGGATGTTAAGGATATGAAATTGTTGATTTAGATATGGATACAGATATTTAATAATATTATACCGGTTTTAGATACGGTTAGGGATATGAAATTATTTTGGATTATTTTTGACGAAATTATTGCTTTTATTACATAAACTACATAAACTGAGACTTACTGTCTTTTCCAAAAATTATTTTATCGATAGCTCTAATAGGCAATTCGAATGCTAATGTCCATATTATTGCTAGGATTGTAGTTAACACCAGATCAGCCAAAAAGGCACGTGTCTGAAAAGTAAAAGCGATATTCGGATGCTTTATGATTTACATCATCGTTTGTGATTGGTGAATTTTTTTAACTAAATATTTACGTTTATGTATCTACTATTAGTTGTTAAAAAAAAGTAGGCGATGATAATAAATAGACTCTTCAAAGCAATAAAGCTGTTACATCGTTTTATGAAAAGATATAGACTCTGAGGCTTAGCGCGCACTGCGATTTTTTAGTCGCGCGATTATTTAGTCGCAAAAATGTAACAAAAAAAATTGCCGTTTACTAATTCCTCCCCAGACAAAAATTTTCTGTCTCTCCAGTCTCTAAGAGTCTTTCAGCGTCTCTGAGAGCATCTCTTACAGTCTTTCACAGTCTCTCATTATTGCCTAGGTGTTTTTATGGATCTCTCACAGTCTCTGTATGAGAGACTCGAACGATAAAATTGTTAATTCAGAGATTCGAGTCTCTCACAGAGAGACTGAATAAATAAAACTGAAAATTTGAGAGGCTCTAGTCCCTCGTAGAAAGACTGGAATCTCTGAAATATGTTGAACATAGAAAATTTTAACATGTCTATCGAGACACCACTTATTGAGAGATTCGAGTCTCTCGTTCAGACTGGATACGAAATGAGGATCTCGAGTCTCTCGTCTAGAGACGCTAAACAGTTTTTTTGACAGTCTCTCTCAGCGACACCAGACAGACTCGATGAGAGACGGAGACTCGAGTCTCGCTTTCAGAGACTCTGAGAGACTGAACATTTTTATCTAGGGCTGTTTATGATAGGATGAAACTAATATTGTTTCTTCTGCTTTCTATTAGTATTATTAGCATTTATTCGCAATAACAATGCCACAATACACATTGTCTTTGTACTTACACTGCAAATGAATAAAAGCTTCGAATATTTTGCTTTTACTTCCTGCGACTAAAAAATCGCAAGTGCGCGCTAGGCTTTAGGCTACGAAAATCTGAAAGAAAAACGGCTTTTACGACAAAAGAAAAAAAATACAGTGATATAATGCGAAGAAGCTTGTCGCACTTATTCTGTGGAAGTTAAAACCCTTTCTAGGATATATGCGTAAATCAAGCAAGTTTATTTCTGATTCCCGCACATATGTGGGGCTAAACAATTTAGATTGCTAGCATGACCGTAACCTATTCACACCGACCAAACTGTCGTTGAACAATTTAGTTGCAGTGCGCGCATAGCCTTATTGTGAATAAATTATTAAGTTTGTGCTTACCATTGTGTAGTGGTTGAAGTATATTGGTGCCCTAATTTGAGTTAGGTCCAGTAACATAGGAATAAATTGAATTAAATACATACTGTAAGCCAATCTACTAAATATTTGAAATATAGAAGAACTAAGAAACTTGTTTATTATCCCTAAAAATAAAAAAAGAAAAACGTAGAAGTTCAATTTAATCAATTATATAATAGATTAAAATAAATGAACCAGCAAAAATCAAGTAAATTAATCAACTGATTAACAATTAATTATTAAATACACCAAAATTCTAAAATTTCAACGGTAGAAGTCAATATTTTGGCATTCTGAATGTTTTCAAATTATTTTGTACAAGACACTAACGTTTTAAAAATTATTTCTTAAACATTTAAGTTATTGTTGTAATTTAATAAGGGGTTTTAGTAAGTCAATTAACAATTAAGACGTCTTTCAGACATTTAGTATTATTTAACGATATTACCTCCATAACCATTTTCACATGCAAAAACAATCCAAAAAATACAGAAAGCAAATGCAGGTTTGTGAAGAGCCGTCCATATGGAAGTTTTAAATCTTTCGTAATTATACGATGGATCGCACTGAGCCAAAATCAAATTTGGAATAGCTAATAATACAATACACCAAATAGAAGTAGTCAACAGCTACAATGAGAAATATTTTCAAAAACATAGGTAGGCACTGTGTTGCTAATCAGAAATTGATACAATACAAACGGTAATCCAAATAAGTAGGAGCCCAGAAATGTGCTTGAAGCTTAACCCCCTTATTATCAATTTAAATAAAGTACTTTTTTAAAGATTTTAAAATTCGACGACAAGACACACCCCTCAAGTAAAGAGTAATTAAAAATAATCGTCACCACACGGAGCATGAAAATTGTCATACCTAATTCTTATAAAAAAATGATTTCGTGCCGAAATAAGCAGAGACATTATATGCCCTTTTGACTTATTGCTACAACTGTTATAAACAAATGATTTTGTTCCAAGATAAGCATTAACATTATGTGCGATTGAGACAAGAAGCGATTTTCGTGCTCCAATAGGTACACTCCGACATGAAACATTTTCAAGGTTTGTAGGGGATGCAGTATGAAATCGCTATTTTTCATAAACAAATACATATGTGCTCTAAAGAGTATAGGATCTATGGGCTCTTCATGTGTTCCCAATTTAGTCATTAAGTGATTTGCGTGCATTTATCCTATCCGACTCAAAACAAATGGGAAATATTAACCTTTTTGGATTCTGGCCTAATTCTGAAGTATCTATATAAATCGGTGGTGACAACTGTTTTTAATTACTCTTTATTTTAGGGGGGTACTTGTCGTCGTGTTACACCCCGCATAATGAAATTTTTAAAAAGTGCTTTATGTTTTTGTAGAAGTTTTGTTTGGATTCGAGACAAGGGAGGGGGGTGCAGCTTTACTCATCTAGTTCAGAATTATATCGCCTGAATTTGCTAGCCATTACTTTGCAATAATGTTTAAACATGAAATATTTATTTTCAGGTACAAATAAAAACCCTCTTTTGCATCTAACAATAACTTTAGAAAAATAGTGGCAGTTTTAACATAATAAAAATAAATACTAATTAGAGAACAGTACACTAACAAGAACAATACTTAAATCCAAGGATAATGACACAAATCCTTATGTTGATTCTATTTCGGAATTGATATCAAATTATCATTTTTGACAAAAAATGATTTTGTATTCGATAGGAGGTATTACAGACACTTTTTAATAACTAAATATTAAAATAGCAATAGATAGGTGAAGAAATAGATGAATTACTGCATTGCCAAAGTCAATTTAAGAAGGCGATAACTACTTAAGAATTAGACGCATCTTTTATAATTTTTTATATTTTGTTTGACGTCTCTTTTATTTTATTTATTGGAAAACTTTGTATATCAAAGTATTGACGTTTAGGGTAGCATGTACGTAGAAATATTTACATTTTACTATTTACAAAAAAATAATATATTAAAATTAAAAACATGCAAATACCAGACGTTGTCGATTGAAAATTTGTGTATTTGTTTTACCTTGTTCATTTGGAGCTTTTTATTCTTACTGTTATATAGTACAATACCCAATACCATTCCAATAAACCACGGTGCTAAATGTGTATGGGTTACATAATAATATTTGTCATAAAAACTTTGCGAATACCTAAAAGATAAACGTTTGCTTTGTTACAGGTATTAAACATCTAATTCTTTGGGAAATTTCTAATCAAATAATATTAAAACACGATCACAGAGCCGCCAGAGACATTATTTATTTTCTGAGTAACAAAATGGGTGGGACAGAATAGTTTTAATTTAAATGTATGCATGTGTGCAACTTGGAGCGACGGGCAATTTGCAGATATCAGGTGCTAAAGCTACGTAGAAACATTACTCGCTCTTCTTAAAGTCTGAGTGTCAAAGAATTTTTTTAAATATTAATAATCCACACTGCCAGATACTTCCAATCGGCTGTAATTTCTGACAGACGCAAAAAAAATCGTAATTTGATTTATAGTCTCAGTCTTCATTTTTAAATATGATAGTCAGGAAATTATTTCAATACTTTTAGTAAGAAGCCAGACCAATTATAGGGCCAAACATCCCTCAAACACAATTAATATGTCGCTGTTATAAGGACATTTATATTTCTCCAATGTGGAGTCCACATCCACTCGGGCTAGCAAAACGTTAGGAAGTAACTCCAATACACGACAGCTTTTAGACCCGAATCAGACGTTTGAAACGTCTGGCAGAAATTATCGCCGATGGAAAGTGTCTGGTAGTGTTGATTTTTATTAATTTTTAACAATATTCTGTGAAACGTTATGTAAAAATTATCATTTAAACTTAGAAAAGCGAGTTCTGCCAATTGGCCGTCGGCCCAAGTTAGTAGGTATGCATAAACTTTTAAACTTTTGGGTGTTTCATTCCCACCAGTCAGTAATGCTTGTAAGCGGGCAGTTCCTCTGGACTACGCCGGAAGGTCCTCTTCAGCTTTCTTTCAGGAATAGTGGGAATGGGTGCTTGGTGGTTCTGATGAGAAAGATGAGATGAACGAAATAAAGACAGAAGAGAATGAAAGATAGTCTGTGGAATATTTCTGCCCCAGCATTTGCCTAAGTGATTCAAGGAAACCACAGAAAAACTTGGACCAAGGCAGACGGAGGACCCGGAATCAAACCGGCGTCCTCCGAAATGCTAAGCAATGGTCTAAATCTCTAGACTATGCCACTCCTCGGTAGGTATGTATACGTTCAAAATATACATTTTGTTACTAACAAAACAAGTAATGCCTAGCGGTTCTGAGTTCTTGGTATATATACAACAAGGGAAGAAAGTACAGCATTCCCTCGCGGGTGTACTCTCGGCTAGGGTGGTAAACTGTTGCGAGATACTTGCTTCCCAAGAATTTTTTACTACACCCCCGCCCCGAACGTATGATTTTTCTTGATTTCAGGGGCAATAAAGTGCAACGTAACATACGAGGTAAGAAATCGCATTTACTGTTTATTAAAAAAATATTTTAATATTTTTTTTTTGTGTGGAAACTACGCGGAGGATGTTAAAATCCTTTTCTAATGAAACGTTATATTGCACTTTCGTCTCTGAAATCTGAAAGAAACGTCACATTTTCGTTAGGGTATGGTAGAATCATTTTTGTGGAAGTAGACAATATTTATATTTCCGATTACGATGATCTATCGAAGCAAATTTTAACTGAATAGTCGCTTTCGTTTAAATTTGTGTAATTTACTGTTGTATTAGCGTATAAACATCCTTACCATAGTATCTCGTTAATATACATGATGAGAAAAACCACCACAGTTGAAATAATTATCAGCAAAGGCAGGCCAATAAAGAGCATTTTCTTGCGATAAAGAACAATGGACCACAGTAACAAAGGAGAAAATATAAACATTTGCATGTCTACATTAATATACCACGTGTGAGTTATGCACTGCAAAAAATGCATTCAATTAGACTCAGTGTGATATTTTCGGGAGGTAACTGATTTTGATGTACAAAATGTTTTATTGATAATAATCACAAGTTAATTAATAGAGCAGGAGAATGATTTCTATTTTCGTACCATCTCACTTGTATGTGCATAATTTTCTATATAGAGAAAAAAAGACCACCAATTATCAACACACGGTTGCCTTTGGCGATCGGTAATAAAATTATACACTGGACCATTTCCTAATCGTCTGGATAATGTGACGTAGTATACGAAAAGGGCGGCAACTGGAGGTGTTAATCTGAAATATTTTAATTTCATCTAATTACAATGATTATTGAGATTCGCAAATTACGTTCTGGGTTTAACTTTCTTAGGGAATCATTAGAATCTAAATTATTTAACGTAAAAGGCTTAGAAGCGTTTGAAATGTGGTGTTACAGGCGAATGATGAGGATATAGTGGATAGGGAAGGTAGAAAAACGAAAAGGTATTAAAAAAAAAGAACAGAGGACTCTATGGAATTCAGAAAAGAAGGCGAAATAGGTTGGTGGGACATCTTCTCAGGCATGAAGTTAAAAGGGGTAGAGGTAGACCTAGATTAGATTACTGTTCACAAATAGTTAAGGATATGGGATGTTCCAATTTTAGGAAAATGCAGAGATCAACTCAGGATAAGAAAAAGTGGAGGTGTTTGCCCAACCAGTCTTAGGACTGACGACCTTATGATGATAATGATTTTTAAAAATATTGAATTTTAAAGGTCGGGCATTATTACAAAAAATTTAATGAATCACAAAATTCTGCCGTAAGAATTCGAAAAAAAATTGAATAAAATGTCTCGCTTCCACAGTAACTGAATGCAAGACAAATTCTGTATGCGTTGTTAGTAGCGTTGATATACGAAGCTCAAATTTTGATGATATGATGTCAAATCAAAGGCTAATGGAATAAAAAAAAAAGAAATTAAGATAAAAATACACTCTGATGATAGATAGATATTATTGTACAATTACCTTAAGTAGCGATGCATATAACTTGATAACGTGTAGGAGGTTATTGTAAAAGCCTTTTTCAATATGCTATGGTTGGCTATTTTATTTCTGAATTCCGTCATTGGCTTTATAGCTAAATAAGTGAGGAGACACCCTGATAACACTAGGAAAGTGTCCACAGCATACTGCGCTGCTTGAACATATTGACTCTGAAGTTGCTTTGCTATCTACCTTACAAAAATAGTTGTTATTGTATTTTTTAACCATTTATCATTAATCAAGAAGAAAATACATATATGTATGTGTAGCACACTGTGGTACAATAGATAAGTCATAAATCTAAAAGAATCCCGCACTCCCTTGGTTTTCACTGTCACAGCTTTTAATAAGTAGTAATGACAAGGTGATGCTAAACAACATCATTCGGATTTTATAGAATGTGTTGTTCTTATAAGTGTAAATAGGTAATTGTATATGAATTTCTGCAGTTTTAACTTGACTAAACTTGTAAGCAATACTTTAGGTTTAACACTCATTGATGAAATGGTAATTCGTACTGTGTTTTGATTCAATTGTTAGGGTGTTTTTTCGTCTATTATGATTAATTAATTTATTTGCAATTGTTTGTATATTACCCGTAAAGTTTAGCTCTATTGTGTATTTACCAATATTTTATGGTGTGCATTTATACTAAGGCTCTATACGTTATCTGCAAATTAACAAGTGGAACTGATAGCGTTATTAAGTTGCTCAGTGTGTTGTAAGTAGCTAGGAAACAACCTCTTAAGATAATATCAGTATTTTCTTATGGGACTTTGTTGCTGAATTGACGTTTTGATAATTAGTAGTACAATTACTATCACTATTACCAAAAATATTTCTTAAATAGTTTGACTATATGTAAATGTGGTAAAACATTTTTCACGTATTCTTTTTATTAAACATATTTCATCTAACACGCATCTTTTAGTATGTTGCAGAGTAAAGGTCTAGATGATGGTCCCCATCACCGAAGGGAATGGGGATGGGGGGGATCGAAAGAGGAGGTCTCCCCCACCACTATACCATAAAAAGTTCATGGTCTCACCCCTTTAAAAGTTATGGGGGTTAAAAGTTGATTATTTTGACAATTTTCATACACTATAATTCAAATAAAATTCAATAAAACAATTATTTTCAAGCGGGTGGAGGTGGGGGATCGAAAAAGGGTGGTCACTTGAACAAAACCCGATAACCTAACCTAACCTACCCTATTGATAAAGATTTTAAATAATGTTTTAAATAACTTTCTCAATATTGTTATGTATTTTTCATTAGTTTTACCTTTGAATGTTGTTTAAGAATGACTATATAAATCTTTACATGCCTAGAAATGTATAAAAATTGGCATATTTATTAACTTTGAACCCCCATAACTTTTTATGGGGATGAGACCGCCACGAATTTTTTTTCGTACAGTGGCGGGGGAGACCTCCTCGTTCGATCCCCCATCATGTAGACCTTTACCAAAATATTTACCGTTTGAATTTCGTTGAAATTAATTGCGAAAATATCTTCAGACGATGAGTATCTATGGCCTAGTATAATCCAGAAGATACTTAAAGTTTTTAGTCCTTCCAAGCACAGAAGGTGATTTGAACTTTTTGAAGTATTAAACAAGATCTTGCCGTTGGTTAGGACAGAATACGCAATAAATATTTTATGACCAGGTTCTAAAAGAACACATAGAAGAATCGGTGTAGGTAGTTATTTTGTATTTGTATTGTATTCAAAAATTTAAACTTACTTTTATCCTCGATTTTAAGATGGATGTCGTAAATGGTACTCACAAGCATAACAAGCGCTATGAGGACTAAAATTATTCTACAATCAATAAGCGAGAAATAAATCAGGGACAAAATGAAACATCGAGAACTTAATAAAATTGTTTTGAATAACATCGAAATAATAACCTACCCGACTAGAAATTTTCGTGGTTTATAGTCATGCATACCCTAAAGCGAATTAGATCTTAATACGGCGTTCTAAAATTTAGGACAAGCAAACTGTTATCTATTCAGTTCCTTATAAGGATAGTCGAAATAGGATCAATCTGAACAATTCTAAATTAAAAAAAAATCGAGGCTATCCGTAGTTGAGGTAACCTATTGGAGTGCCTCAGCAGGACCTTATTTATTATTATTATAAGGACTAAATAAAGAAATACAAAAATTTATCTTATATCATCTAAGGAGTTCTTGTTCGGATCTAATGCTAATAAATTTTTATTACTACACTAATGATAAGTTATATTATTACTATACGGCCCAAAAATTTACTTTATTTACTAAATAGTTCCTTATTCGGACTTTATACCAGTGATGGGTGTGGATTTTAATTATACATATATGTAAGGAACTCCGTTGGCGTAATAAAGGCGTTTAAAAAATGAACCGAAATTTCTAGTCGGGTACGGTTCTCGGTGTAGTTTATATCGTATTCAAAGTGCTCTCGAATTTTAAAACACTACAGCGTTTAATAGTCGAAGAAGTATACTTCATTTACTTTATGTAGCGATTTGTCTCTTCCAATGTCTTGGATGCGCGCTGGCAAAATCATTAGTAGGGAGAAAAAAGCTCATTATACTCTCGACTCTTGTTCATTATACATACTTTTTCATACAGTACCTGCCAAAAGTTTTGTTCAATCATGAATAGTAGTACGAGTCGAAAACAAGCGTTAAAGCTTTTAATATGTCTTCAAATATAAATCAACATCTCGTTGATATTTTCAGTAGTAATTGGTACCAATAACAGCATATTTGAGCAATGCAATTTTAGTGGCTAAAACGGTCAATTTTTCCGTGCAGTAATGTACGGATTATACGCTCCTCGCCGGTTAAGAGTTTGGCCGATAGTTGTCTCCTGTCTTTTCTGGCCTAGTGCTGTTCTTTTCTACTTTGCGCCGGTCATACTAAAGATGACATCGCTACAGAAACTAAACGAAGTATATATATGACGTATTTCTTATCGTGCAGGTAGGAGGTGTTTTCTAGAAAATTTTGTATATATCCTTTTCCATTTCGTACCACGTTATTCAAATTCGTACAGGTAAAATTTGTCAATTGTTCGGTTCAGTTTACATGCTTCTATATAGACTGTCAATTAGTGTTTTTCTCTAAAAAAAATTCAGCTGCCACCAAATGTATCGCTTTCCAGCCACTGGTCAACAAAATAATTGATAAATTGTCGTACCTTGTAGTTTACTTAACCAACAAGAAGTATGAATTATTAAATTATACAGGGTGACTGGAAATTGTTCGTATTCTTCCCGGGAGAAGAAACTGTCAGTAATTTGGAATGATTTAACCTGTATCACTTGGGGATCGGAAATGCGCCATTGTCGAGAAAATCTACTTCGTTTTTCAAAATGTAACAAATGTCTTAATACACAACATAAAATCTAACAGTAATCTTCCTGATTTTTAGCTTTAGGAAGGTTAGCCAATTAGTAAGCTATCAGATCATCGAAAAGTTCAGACCAAATTTTTTTTAAACTTTTCGCTTCCAAAATTCGGATTTTTGTGACAAGAACCGAAGTAGATTTTGTCGAAAATGACGCCATTCGGGCCCCCAAGTGATAGAGATTAAATCATTCCAAATTAGTGATAGTTTCTTCTCTGGAGAGAAATACGAGAATATTGATAATATTTGCGCGATACGAAATGGAACTCCACCAATTAAACGCTTACTTAGAATTTTTTTCAAATTCTTTAAATAATTGTTCCAAAGAAATTAGATATAAATGGTTGTTATGATTTATAGCCTTTAAAATAAATATTATAAAAAGGTCTTACATTGCTGCATAATCGGAAGCATCTAATTTGTAAAAACTTTCTTCTGTAACACAAATCCTATCAAATCCCAAAGCGAACTGTGGAAGGGGTAGTTCACTTGGAACACAATGATGAGGTAGACAGAGAGATAATGATGTAATTATTAGACCATAGTTATTTATAAGGTTTAATATCTGATCTAGATTTAAGTCGCCTACAGCTCTGGCTTTTGTATATTCAACTAGCGATGTAATGAAAGATTCGTTTTTAAGCACTGGTTTTAGTTGTGAGTTTTGAATTGACTGAAAACAGTAAACTTTTGATATTTTTTTTAAAAAATCTCTAGCATAGGCGTATCCAGCGTTTGAGTTTGAGGGGGACGAGATCCAACAAAATGAAGAATTAAAAATTAAAATAATTAATGTAAATTCTTGCTCAATTAGCAGAAATTAAAAACAGGCGGCTTATCATAGACTGCCGAATTTTTACATCTATATATATATAAAAATGAATATTTGTCTGTATGTCCTTTATAGAATCGTAAACTATGCATTTGATCATGTGATGATTTTTAGCAAAGTTGTTGTGCATGAGCCAAAGAAAATTTCTGAGTTGGTAGGACCAATTTTCGACAGGAAAAACAAGAAATGTTGTGTATCCCACAGCACTTCAATAAATATCGAATTGAAACGAAACGCTGTAATGTCACAATTTTTTCGAAATGAACAAAATCAATAAAATGACTCAAAATGAATTGAATATTTGTGTAATGTCTTTCCTTGAAATTTATTTTAGTTGGTGGCGTAGTAACGCGCGCAGGGTATAGCTAGTAAGTAATAAATAATTGACTGCATAAAACAGACATAGTGTTTTACAAATAGTGAAATTTCAGTGTTTCTGACTACTTTGGATACGCCTATGACATCAAGCTACTCACGCTGATTATTGGATTTAAATAATTGAAATCAGTGTGGTTGTAGGAACCAATCGATGTGGTTAAATTGATATATCTAGGTAAAACAGTAACAATTCCAGAATAGCAATATTTCCCTTTAATGGTTGAACGGCCTTGATGATTTATATTTATGCATTCGTCAAAGTTTCCCAAATCTCTATAATTTCCTTCTTGATAGCCGCTAGGAATTTTGCTTGAAGCATCTAACACTAGAAAGGTAGAAATGTATAAAAATTACAGTAGTGTATACTTTTACGAAATAATCGTCATTTCTTTTACGTTCTTTCAGTTTCCGGAATAATTTTCCATACCTACTGGTAAAATAAACGAAAGGGATTTTTTAATCGAAATAATTAAAATAAAAACGAAAGATAATATTTCATTTTACGTGTTTTTAATGTTTCTTTATAAATTCGCTTTATGTTTTCTTTGTTTTTTAAAGGTAAATAAATGCACTTATACTATTATAACTAAATTCTATTTTTATTTTTTATAAATGTTTGTATGATTCGAATATACTTGTACTTGTCATGGTAGATAAATACTTCACAAATTTTAAAATATTAATGTAATAATAATAAAAATAAAACGAAAATAAATAATTTAGCACTGATATAATAATTGCTTCGATAATTGCAATGCTTCTTAATCTTTTTTTTTTTTCCATTTTGTCATTATGCTTAAAGTGGCCTGTATATAACGTTTGTTAAATAAATAAAGTAAAAACTGAAATCATGAAAAACACGTGTGAATATACAGGGTGAGCCAATGAAACGGGTCGATTTGGGAACGCCATTGCCAAAAAAAGTAGAGGGGAGGTGGGCTGTCAACATTGTGAATATAAATAGCGTTTTGAATATAGATAGTTATTTTATCTCCACACTCGAGAAGGGGTTTTAGTCGGTAAAAACGCGACACTACCTCCCTTCAGGGGGTGTCTTTTGAAGATTTCCCTTCCTCGAGAATAATTTAAACAAAAAAAATTGATAGTAATCGTGGATAATTGGCTGTTACACTAAATATAGGAAAAAAGAAAATTTAGTACTGTTTGAAAAAAGAGATTTACAAGAATGTCCTCGGAGTATGTGTTCTTTGTTCCTATATCTGGATAACACATGGTTCAAATATAGAGACAAACTGATTTTTTTTCGATATTCTTTACTTCTTTCATCAAGTATTTTGTACTATTTTGTTCGCTAAAAGGTCAATTTATGCTTTAGACGAAGGGTCAATTTATGTGCTAGAGGAACTCTCACAACAACCGACACTATTTTCTTTAAAAGTCATGACAAGCTCGCACGTATGACAGAAAATTTCAGTAAATAGAAAAATTCGTGTTTAGAAAGATTATAGTATCAAATTAAATGAGCAAGATCAAGACTTAACACGCAAGATCAAGGTTAACACTAAGACTATATCAGAAGACCAAGACCAAGACAGAGACTATATCAGCAAGACCAAGTTCAAGACCAAGACTGAAATATTTGAGCAAGACCGAATAAACAAGACCAAGACCAAGATTGTCTCAGTCTGGTCTTGGTCTTGGTCTTGCTTTGCTCATCACTACACAACGCCCATTTGCCGTCAAAGCCTATTACCGAAGCGGGCAAGACAAGCATTTCGTTTACATTACTGTTTACCGCTTCGGGCTCGTATTTTTCCTTTGGGAGTAACACAAAAACAAAAGCGTTTCAAAATAACCACCCATTAAGAACTATCTAAGTATTAAATGCAAGGAGTCGAGGTAAAGTAGCCGCAGTTACCACTAGAAATTATGCGCAATGTTCTCTGGGACATTATTTTTAAAACATGAACGTTTATGCATAAATGTCTATTCAGTCATAGTCGTCAGACTGGTTGGACACGCACCTACAACCTTCCTATCCTACGCTAATCTTAGCATTTCCCCAAAACTAGAGTAACCCACATCCATAACTATTTGCGAACAGTAATCTAATCTAGGTCTATTTCTATCCCTCCTAACTCCTGTTTCTGCCTCTAATATGTCTCTGACTAGACCTTCATGCCTGAGAAGGTGTCCTGCCAACCTATCTCGCCTATTTCTTATTGACTTCCATAGAGTCCTCTGTTCTTCATTTCTAACCTTCTCTATCCACGGTGTCCTCATCATTCGCCTGTAACACCACATTTCGTACGCTTCTAACCTTTTCTTTTCCGCCGCGCCCACTGTCCATGTTTTGCACCCGTACAGCGCCGCGCTCCAAACATACACCTTTAACAACATTTTTTGAATTTCATGTTTATTCATGTAGATTATGTTTTCATCTATAAATTTTACAAAAGATGGTTTTTTCTAAATGTTTTCTGATGTTTTGAAATCGACTCGTTGGCTCACCTTGTGCTTTATATTGGATACTAACTAAATAATAAAATTAGTGGAAATTCAACTGCAATTCATTAAAACCAATCGATCAATGAAGAAAGCGCTGACATTTACGTGAAATAATTAGTAGTTTGGCGCCTGTATTTAAAAATAACTGTTGTGCAGTCTTATAGAATTTTAAAATACCCATTACACATTAAATTCGATATCTGAATTTTAATACATACTCTTCCATGCCCATTGTTCTCCGTTAATAAAAGAAGACCATAATTCATTCAATTGCGTTTGACACATTTCACTAGAGTTAGCAGGAGTTTTAACATTTTCAAGAAGAACCTGCATCATTTCTTTCGCTAACGATTGAGAATAGTAACCCTTTTTAAAAACTGAAACCAGATAAAACACAAAGAGAAGCTTATGAAAATCCATCGTGAGAACGAAAAACATGATTTTATCACTGCTTTGAACGAAACAACTTCTATACTAACACATTTTACACTATTTTATATCTAAACAACACCGTTATCGTTGTCTAAGTGGATATGTACACTGAAAAGAACATAATTGAAATTAAGTGTCCAGGTATTTGCAGTCTGTAATGTTCAAAAGTATTTTCTGTTGAACATAATTGTCGTAATAATCAATTGACTAAAGTACTTTTAGATTTAAGTAATCACAATTGATAGAAAAACGTAGGCTTGTAACAGTAACGTATTCTCTTGAACGTAATAAATACCCTTAGATTCCATTTTGAAGAACTGGAATCAAATAAAAAACATTTGAATTAAGAAAATTTTATCTAAAAATCTCCTTTTTAATTAATATTGGATATGATTTACGACATAAGTTGCTGGTTCTTATAAAAAAATTCTCGGGTTTGATTATGTAATTATTTTCTTGGGAATAAATAAAATTTTAAAATTGAACATTTTTACTTACACTTAAAACAACGCTTAACCTATAAATGCTCAATATTACAGCATGAATCGATAGAAGTAAATAAAACTCTATTCAATTCACATTTTAATAAGTAATTATTAATATCCTAACTAATATAACGAATGCAACTGTGAGTTTGTTTGTTTATCGGCTTTTCACGCCTTAAATCCTTAAGAAAAATTAGTTTAATGTGGTTGACTTTTGTGTATTTTGTACACACATTTTCAGGGGTACAGAAAAGGGCATTTTATCTAAAAAACTATACTGTTTCTAAGGGGTAGAAAAAATTGTTCAATGTGGTCGATTTCACGTCTAAATTACCTAATCGATCATGATGATTTTGTACATACATTTTCAGGGGTACAGAAAAGGACATACGGTTCCTTTTATCCAGAAAAAGAATACTGTTTTCGAGGAATAGAAAAATTAGTTCAATGTGGTTGACTTCACGCCTTAACCACTCAATCATGAAATCAAATCATGAAATTTTCTACACACATTTTCAGGGGTACCGAAAAGGACATAGGGTATTTTTTATCCACAGAAAAAATACTGTTCCCGAGGGATAGAAATGTTAATTTTGTGTAGTTGTCGATGATCTTTGACACTTATTTATGACATCAGCGCGAGCGAAGCCGCGGGGAAAATCTAGTATTTATATAAAGAATGCAACCTTTTGATTTAGATACCTACTTAACTGCAAACAAAGCCATTTTAAATTTTACTTATCTCTTACTGTAATAACTATAATCTGACAGATTTTAGAGGAAGTTAGTTGTTCAGTCGTTGTTGTTACTATTATAGCAGATATGCGATATACTCCTTATCAAGTAGGTATGTGACGTGCTGCGTTTAACATGATCAAATTAGAGATCATGTGAAACGTTTTTACAATAAACATCCTAGACTACAGCAAATAATAAAACAATACTTTTATTATAACCTTATCGAATTTGATTAGAATCAATGTTATTACGTACATCCATAGGTTAAAATATAGTAATTAATTAAATAAAAGAATGTCTGATCCGAATTCAAAAACTATAATTTTATTATTAAAGATCGTACGCTATAAAATTAGAAAGAGGAGACTGTGGTATATATTAATCAAAAATTAAAAGGAATACTCACCCCTAATTACTGGACTGGACTAGTCTCGCGTTGATAATGCCCACGTATGAAGTGGGCGAAACACGTGTCCGCTCAAATAAAATTGTTTGTGGTAATTAGGGGGTGAGTATTCCTTTTAATTTTTAATCGTATGCTATCATTACATATGACGCCCTTAGTTAGGCCAAGGACCAAAATAAAACAACTTAATAAAAATAAAATCCAAAAACAAGACCAAACTAAAACAAAATTCGATAACGTTATTACTAAATATCGTATTACGCTTTATTACATATGACGTCCGTAATTAGGCCGACAAAGAAAACGACAAATAAAACACCAAAAATTACGTATTAGGACCTACTACAGGAAAACAAATGATCCAATGTATAAAGAACGCATAAAAAAAAACATAGAGAAGAAAAAAGCCATTTAAACTACGTAACACACCCAGATCGGGGACTGGTTGGACACGTACCTTCACCCTTTCCTATCCTGAGATTATCTTCGCATTTCCCTAAAGCTAGAACAACCTATATCCTTAACCATTTGCGAACAGTAATCTAATCTAGGTCTACCTACCTCTACCCCTCCTAACTCCCGTTTCTGCCTCTAATATGTCTCTGACTAGACCTTCATGCCTGAGAAGGTGTCCTACTAACCTATCTCATCTATTTCTTATTGACTTCTATAGAGTCCTCTGTTCTCCTATTCTTTCTAGTACCTCTTCATTTCTAACCTTCTCTATCCACTGTATCAACAGAAAATATGGAAATATACAAATATAAAATGTTTTTTTGTTCATTTTTGACGATAAACATTATAGTAGTTTTTATTGCAAAAGAACCTTATCCGACTAGCATATTTCCCTTTCAACAATGTTGTTTTAAGAAAATATGATAAAGTTCTACAGTTTCGCAGATAAAGTGACATTATATATAAACACTTCAGATATCTAGTCCTTTGTTTTTTGTTTTTAGATTTTTTGGGTGACAATGAGAAATTTTCCACTTGAAACATTTTACAACCCATAAAATTAAGACTTACTTCTTCACACAGATAAAACGGAAACATTTACAAAAGAAAAACCAAGCAGCATATGAGGTACATTCCAACTAACTGTGTATTAATTAATTAAAAAATAGACAACTTTCGTATTTTTCCATTAATACAGGACAATTCACGTAATTTTTTATGTTTTATTCAACATAAAATCGCACCGATGTTTGGCTTTATGTTAAACTTCTTCATGGCTACAATTTATATAGGAATTACAACTCATAACATTACTTTAAGCGCAACAGCTTTATTTTAGTTAAATAATTCATTTAGTTAATTTGAATACATATATCTCTAATAAAATAATTCGAAGTGATCTATGTTCTGTCGAAACTGCCAGACGCGGATCGCGATTTCGATCCTGTTGGATCCTATCAGCGCGTCGTAGACAGTTTCAATATCCATTCGTATATGTAATCCTAAAATGTAGCACTGTACTACAGATGGAGTTTACCGCGCCATTTGTGGTATTTTACATATATCTCTGTACAGTAAATAATTTGGTATTTAGCAAATCAAAACAATCATGAACGCATTATCACCTAGTAGTAGGTACAAGGACAGCGCAGTTGATGTAATTTTAATCGCTGTCCTAATAAATAACTTAAATTAGACTCAAATACTTTTGTGAATTCTAAAAAAAAACAGTGTCTATGCTCAATGTTTTTTTTTTTGACAATTACGTACACAATACGTACTTGTGTTTATATTCAGTATATTTTGAAAGTAAACAGAGTAGATGTTCGTCTTCAGTTGATTATTTATCGTCCTTTTTAGATGGTCCTTCGCTGTGATACAAAAAGTACGTAATATGCTTATTGTAGCCAAACTGTAAGTTTTATTCAAAGGGGGGGGGGCAATATTTGTTGTTATTGCGAACTTTTTGACATTCTGAACTACTTTTTCCTATAACTTTTTTTGATTGAACCCATATTTCACATAGTTGTCATTTAAACGAAATTATTATTTTTTTCTTTTTTTGAACTATCTGTATAGTAAACCAGATTTGGATAATACAGACGATTTTGTATTAAAATAGGGAACAAGTTTTGTTTGAAAAATTTTTTGATTAAACCCACGGTTAATTTAGAAATACGAAAAAGATTGTTAAAGGTGTATGTTTGGAGCACGGCGTCGTACGGGTGCAAAACATGGACATTAGGCGCAGCGGAAAAGAAAAGGTTAGAAGCGTTCGAAATGTGGTGTTGCAGGCGAATAATGAGGATAACGTGGATAGAGAAGGTTAGGAATGGAGAGGTATCAGAAAGAGTAAGAGAGCAGAGGACTCTATGGAAGTCAATAAGAAATAGGCGAGTTAGGTTAGTAGGACACCTTCTCAGACATGAAGTCAGAGACATATTAGAGCCAGAAACTGAAGTTAGGAAGGGTAGAGGTAGACCTAGATTAGATTTCTGTTCACAAATAGTTAAGGATATGAGTTGTTGTTGTTCTAGCTTTAGGGAAATGAGAAGATTAGCGCAGACTAGGAAAGATGGAGGTGCGTGTCCAACCAGTCTTAGTACTGACGACCTTATGATGATGATGAAGATGAAACCTACAGTTTGACCGCAATGAGCGTATTGCGTACTTTTTGGGCCACCATGTTTATTTAATAATGCATATACCTAAGTATATTACAGGGACAGTATAAACTCTTTATAACGTCTTTCGATTTAACGTAAAACTTCTTATAACGCAGAAATTAGTACAATTTGCTTGACTTGTCTTAAAATCTATATGATACAATCTTAATTGTGCAACAGTCATTTTCTATTATGAAGAAATGCGCTAATATTTAGACGCCAGTAAACGTATTTTGTCAGCTTTACTGTTTAGGTTATCAGTTTTCCGACCAGATTTTTAAGATGCTGAAATTTCTATGAAAAGGCACAGCGTCGTAAACAGTGCATTACTTTTGTGTCACTCCACATAACGAAAACTCTCTATAACGAGAAAAATGCTCGTCCTTTGTGTTTCGTTATGAAGAGTTTACACTGTACTTAGACAACATTCATTTGATAATGCTCACAATTACGAACTGGACCATCAATTGAACGATGAAAGAAAATTAAAGAAAGGTAACTTTCCCATTTCCATAGCCAGTGAGTGCCACAGCTACAGCATTCATTTAGTTGTAAAGGAAACTTTAAAGTCAACAACGGCAGTCCGTCGCAAAGTTTGGTTAATTAAGGAAAGTTGGCAGCACTTGGCAGTCATTGCTTCCCGTGGCAGAAGATAATTTTCCTGCAACGGACTAATGTTACCCCATAAACACTATTTCTTCTTGCTTCTTGCTTCTATTATATGAAGCGGTACTGCGTTTTCTGCTATGGATTTAATTTAACAGTCGACGCGTTGAATATAAAAGTCGAAACTACAGTATAAACTAACTCAAGAGATCGCAAAATCTCCTTGTACTATCAAAGTACTATCTGACTGTTCCACAG